TTAGGCTGTTTTGGGGGTATTTTTTATTTCTCGACGAAAATCCCCCTGTAGGGGGACAGGCCCGACTTAAGGCCAGGCCTATGCTCCACGATTGGAGTTCCACCGGTTTCCAGGACCTGGCTTCCTTATCCAAGGTCGCAGGCCTGGAGGTTGACACCAACACCAATATCGGCGGTGTGCCTCCACCGAGGGGAGAAGATCCCGATCTCGGCGATGGTGGTAATACTCTGGCTTCCAAGGTGGCCGAAATATTACCACCAACACCGAGATCTAGGATCATCTCCCCCCTGTGGAGACAGCCCCCTGTGTTGGTGTTGGTGCCCATCTCTGGGTCTCCAACAATGATTCCTTATCCGGTGCCCCGATCGCATCCAGCTCGGCCCCCCCGCCCTCCTCCAACCAGAGGGGGCCACCCACGAGGGGGGTCGCTGGCTCCTCCCGGAGAGCTCGGGGCGCTGCAGGAGCGAGGCTCGAGGAGGCTTCTGGGGCCTCTGGGGTCGTCTCCTTGGGCTCTGGGGTGTTTTTTTTTGGGGGGGGGGGGAGGGGGGGCGTTTTTCCTTGCGGAGACGGCGTCGCCTGGAGAAGACAGAATCCAGGAAGCATCAATATAGAGGGGATCTTGGGATCTGTGTGTGCGCATTTCTGCGCCCCTGGGCCCCTTCCACTGGGGGCCGAGCGTCGCCTGCCCACAAGGCAGCGGCCGCGGTCGCCTCTGCTCGTCCGTGCCCCTCCCGGGCGCGTCGAGGCGTCACCGAAGGCTTTCCCCCCCGGGGGCGACCCGCCGGGTGGCGGCCCGGCCCCCTCCCTGGGCACCGGCCCAGGCCTCTGCTACGGCGCCATTCTCGGAGGGCGGCCCGGGCGAGACAACGGCGGCCTCCCCCCCAGAGCGCCGCTGCTCGTTGTGGTGTTGTTGAACATTATTTATTCTAAAGAATAATTATTGTTGGGACCCCTGGTGCGCGACCCCCTCGCCGCGCCTAGGCCGCAGCTACATTTTCATCATTTTCGTGAGGAAGCCTCAGGTAATACGATGTCATCAAGATCCGGTTGTTTTGTTCCCCCCCGCTGTCCCTTGCAAAAAACACTATAAAATGAAATTTCTTGTTCTAAAATAACCAAACTTCAAGAATCCCTTGCAAAAAATAAGGTAAAGTGGACATTCGCGCGCGCAAGACGAAATCCTTCCAAAACCTTAGTGTTCGTAGCGATTTCAACATAAAAACATCAAAAAACCAATGGTTTTTTTTTTAAAAAAAAAGTGTCACAATTTCATCCCGCGCGCTCTTGCGGATTTGCAGGAAACCCAACTTTTTTAAACATTTCTGTCAAACGGGCTTTTGCGATCAACTTCTTCACGTGCTTCGAACTTCTCCAACAACGGTTGCGCACCTGCCAGGGCCATCATCCCTGTCAAATAATACCATGCGGGACACATTCGTTTTTTCTTTCCGTGCGCACGCCGAAATCTTCAAAAACCATTGGGTTTCGTAGGAATTTTAGCACCGCGCAACATAAAATCATTTTTCGCACCGTAGGCCCTTCAAATCGTCGTCGTCGTATACTAAGCTAGTTTCCACAAGATGTTACCACAAGAAGTCATTGAAACCATGCGCCAGTGTAGTAGCCACGGTCGTCCGCATGCCACGAAGTGAAGTGTCCGAACGTCATAGGGCGGGAAGCTGGGTGTGGGTGGTGGCGAAGAGTCGTTTGGAAATTTGGTAGAGCTTGAACCGGCCCCCCCACAAAGTGGGGGTATTGCCCGCCTCCTATGAAAACCCTGGCACTGGTGAGAACGGAGTGTCCCCACGTGCTAGTAATTGTTGTTGTTGTTGTTGTTGTTGTTGTTGTTGTTGTTGTTGTTGTTGTTGTTGTTGAACATTATTTATTCTAAAGAATAATTATTGTTGGGCCCCCTGGTGCGCGCCCCCCCTGCGCCGCCTAGGCCGCAGCTACATTTTCATCATTTTCGTGAGGAAGCCTCAGGTAAAACGATGTGATCCAGATCCGGTTGTTTTGTTGTAATCCGCTTTCCCTTGCAAAAAACACTATAAAATGACATTTCTTGTTCTAATATAATCAAATTTCAAGAATCCCTTGCAAAAAATAAGGTAAAGTGGACATTCGCGCGCGCAAGACGAAATCCTTCCAAAAGCTTAGTGTTCGCAGCGATTTTAACATAAAAACATCAAAAAACCAATGGTTTTTCAACAAAAAAATGTCAAAATCTCATCCCGCGCGCTCTTGCGGATTCGTAGGAAACCCAACACTTTTTAAACATTTCTGTCAAACGGGCTTTTGCGAGCAACTTTTTCGAACTTCTGCGACAACGGTTGCGCACCTGCCAGGGCCATCATCCCTGTCAAATAATACCATGCGGGACACATTCGTTTTTTCTTCGCGCGCGCACGCCGAAATCTCCAAAAACCATTGGGCTTGTTAAGAATTTTAGCACCACGCCAGTGTAGTAGCCACGGTCGTCCGCAGGCCACGAAGTGAAGTGTCCGAACGTCATAGGGCGGGAAGCTGGGTGTGGGTGGTGGCGAAGAGTCGTGTGGATATTTGGTAGAGCTTGCACTGCCCCCCCACAAAGTGGGGGTATTGGCTGGCGTCGCATGAAAACCCTGGCACTGGTGAGAACACTGAGCGTTCGGGTAAAGTGATTGTTGTTGTTGTTGTTGTTGTTGTTGTTGTTGTTGTTGTTGTTGAACATTATTTATTCTAAAGAATAATTATTGTTGGGCCCCCTGGTGCGCGCCCCCCCTGCGCCGCCTAGGCCGCAGCTACATTTTCATCATTTTCGTGAGGAAGCCTCAGAAAAGAGGGTGTGTACAGGATCCGGTTGTTTTGTTGTAATCCGCTTTCCCTTGCAAAAAACAATAGAAAATGACATTTCTTGTTCTAATATAATCAAATTTCAAGAATCCCTTGCAAAAAATAAGGTAAAGTGGACATTCGCGCGCGCAAGACGAAATCCTTCCAAAACCTTAGTGTTCGCAGCGATTTTAACATAAAAACATCAAAAAACCAATGGTTTTTCAACAAAAAAATGTCAAAATCTCATCCCGCGCGCTCTTGCGGATTCGTAGGAAACCCAACACTTTTTAAACATTTCTGTCAAACGGGCTTTTGCGAGCAACTTTTTCGAACTTCTGCAACAACGGTTGCGCACCTGCCAGGGCCATCATCCCTGTCAAATAATACCATGCGGGACACATTCGTTTTTTCTTCGCGCGCGCACGCCGTCGTCGTCGGCCGCGGGGCCCTGAATAGTAGCCACGGTCGTCCGCATGCCACGAAGTGAAGTGTCCGAACGTCATAGGGCGGGAAGCTGGGTGTGGGTGGTGGCGAAGAGTCGTTTGGAAATTTGGTAGAGCTTGAACCGGCCCCCCCACAAAGTGGGGGTATTGCCCGCCTCCTATGAAAACCCTGGCACTGGTGAGAACGGAGTGTCCCCACGTGCTAGTAATTGTTGTTGTTGTTGTTGTTGTTGTTGTTGTTGTTGTTGTTGTTGTTGTTGTTGTTGTTGTGGTTGTTTTTTTTGTTTTGTTTTTTGTGTTTGTTTTTTCCCCAAGGCTGGCGTTTTTCCTTGATGTCAGCCGTCAGGGGCAGCTCATTCTCGGGCCCTCACCGTCAAACATGCATCCGGGAAGGAGCCTGCCCCTCGGGGAGCGGTCGGGACCTCCGGGGCCGCGGACGAGGCAATCAGACCGGCGGATGCCCGGGCCTGGCGCTCTCCGTCCCTCTCTAGGGCTCCTGTGGGCCCCACGTCGCCGCGGCCCGACCAGAGGGGCAGCATGGGCCCCCCGGGGAGGGGCCCGGGGGCCGATCTCGAGAGGACCTCGAGCCGGGCGGGGGCAGCCGGCTCGTTGTCTCCGCCGGTCCCCTCTCCGAGCGATGGAGTTCGGCCCGCGAGCGCTCGGGCACCGCTCGCTGCTGTCCCGCGCCACGGACCCGGGTGTCGGCGCGGCCCTGAACTCGCGGCTGCGCCGGACGGAGTTCATGCCCTTCGCGCCCGCCACGCTGAGGCCGACGCACGCGACGGGAGTGGCCCCTTCGCTAGGAGTTGGCCTCCTGGTGCGGGCCCACTGGGGTCCCCAGGTCGCCCAGTGCGATGCGGTACGGTCAGGGCGCATCCTGAGGATGAGTCTTTCTCCAAGCGTGCCCTTGCAGACCTGCCTCTCAGCCCATCCTCGCCCTTCGCTATGGGCAGTGGGTCTCAATTCTCGGCTTCGCTTCGGGCGTCCAGGGGCCCTGCATCTTTCCCGCACATCCTTGTGATCCTTCCGCGCTGTAGAGGCGGCTTGCGCGCTTGGGTTGCTCCCACCCATCCCCCCTCCTGCGCCCCCCAGACATTTGGCGTTTTGATTTTTTCGCAATGAGACTCCCCAGGCCCCTTCCGAGGGACGAGCTCTTCGCACCGAATGGTGTTTTTCACGGTCCCCGGAAGTCGAATATTGTTCCAAACCTCCAATCGTCATCCTCTTTACGACGCGAGGATGTCGGGGTCTGCGGGTCAAGATGCGATCCCCCGACCTGTTGCAGGGTGCGTTCTAACCGGCATTTCGAAGCGGATCCAGCAGTGGCGACGAGGAGCCCCTGGGAGATTCCACGAAGGGCGAACCTCGCCAAAGGCTTCCGCCGTGATCTCTTCGCGAGAATTTCGAAGTGGATCCAGCAGAGGCGACGAGGAGCCCTTGGGAGACTCCAAGAAGGGCGAACATCGCCAAAGGCTTCCGCCGTGACCCTCCTCCTCGATCATCCTCGATCCTCCTCCTCAATCCTCCTCCTCGATCCTTCTCCTCGACCCTCCTCCACGGTCCTCCTCCTCGGTCCTCTTCCTCGATCCTCCTCCTCGATCCTCCTCCTCGATCCTCCTCGAGCCTACTCCTCGATCCTCATCCTCGAGCCTCCTCGAGCCTCCTCGAGATCCTCCTCCTCGATCCTCCTCCGCGAGGCCCCCACGCGCCCCCCCCCCCCCGCGAGCCGCGCACACCAGAGAGGTCACATCCCTGCCGTGGGCCGCTCCCGCGCGTGTTGGGCCGACGAGAACCGGGCGGTGCCCAGGGGAGCTTTCGCCACCAGGGGCCGATTTCATTCGGAGGTTGATCGACTACCCTGACACGTCGATTAGCGAATTGGCCGTTTTCGGTTCGCGGGAGGGCGCCGCGGCCGCCATTTTGTTGCGGGTCCAGGTCCGTCGGTTTCGGTCCCAGGCCGTTTTCACTAAAGGGTGGTTTACTAAAGAGAGGTTTTCCACTGCCGATTCATCCACGCCGATGGCGCCGATGCATGGCCGATGCATGGTCGATGCGGCACGATCCTCCGACCCCATCTACTCGGACCCCATCTGGGAGGCCTCTACAGACGGACCCATCCATCCCCATGCATGCGACGTCGTGCCCTGAGATCTGGACGTTTTTTTTTTTTTTTTTTTTTTTTTTTTTTTTTTTTTTTTTTTTTTTTTTTTTTTTTTTTTTTTTTTTTTTTTTTTTTTTTTTTTTTTTTAAAAAAAAAATAAAAATAAAAATAAAATAAAATAAAATAAATTCTATATATATATATATATATATATATATGTTTTTTTATGTTTCTCTCGCGCACTGGGCGTTTTCGCCCGGTCCCCGGCTGCGGGACCATCGCACGTCGATCTGGCTCGACATCTGTCGCAGAACGATGCGGGCTTGGGTTAAGTCGGGCGAGTCCCTCTACAGGAGGAACGTTCGCAGATAGTCAAAACACATAGTCTGGGGACGATGCGATTTTTTGATTCTGCTTTGGCTATGTTTGAGCACATCTGGGCCATCTTAACCTTTCCTCCAGAGCCCACCTGTAGGAGGACATGCCCGACCTAAGACCAGGGGGGCCACCAGTCCCTCCTGAGGATCGAGGTGCCGCGATCGGACCCAGGGCCCCGCCGCTTCTTTCCAACGCCGACCCCCAGAGGCCCGGACCCCTTGCCCGGGACTAGTTTCTCATCCCGAGCCGTCTTGTGGACGGCCCCGAGGCCCGGTGCACGGGCCCCCCCCCAAAAGGCCGAACATAGCGAGTGGCGTCCCGTCGCGATCTTTTCGCAACGCGAGGGGTTAAGTCGGGCCTGTCCCTCTACAGGAGGAGTATTCAAAAATTGTAAAAAAATAGTCGGGGGACGATGTTTCGACTATTTTTGAATACTTTCGAGTATTTTTTGAGTATCTGTTTTTCCCTCCAAAATCCGCCTGCAGGGGGACATGCCCGACCTAAGCCTGGGGGGAGAGGTGTTCTCGACGTCGGGGGTCGTTTCGGGGAGGTCTGGCGTTCTGTGGGGCCCGATGGCCTCGCGGAGGCGGCGCTCTTCCCAGAGCAGGCGGCTGCTGCTCCAGTGGTGGCGACCCCCCCCCCCCTGGCACTGCCGGGTAGAAGGGCGCACGCCTCGGAGGCCTACGTCGGCGTGGACCCCGACGACCTCGAGGCCGGCCGCCACATGACCATGTGCTACACGGCCACCCCCGCCATCTCTCGAGTGGCGGATCGACTACAGAATTGATTTGCTCCAAGATTGGTTTTCTCGTCGAATCGGCGAAGGGTGGTCACGTATAATGCTCCGTATGTGCCATCATTATGCTTTCCTTGTGGTGTCGACGAGGAAATCAGCTCTGGAGTAAATTAATTCTGTAGTCGATCTCCTACTCGAACCTCGGCGGCGCGCAAGAGGGGGCCCAGGGCGAGGCTGGTGGCCCATTTCTTGAACCACCCCCCACTGTGCACTGCATCTCTCCGCCCCGCCTCCGGTCCCGTCGTCGACGACGATCGTTCGATGCTGCAGCGCGCAGGCGATTTGGCTCGCAAAGAGCCCCTGGGGGGGGCGGAGCGCGTACGTAGCCGTTTCTGTTCGCTTGAGGCTCCATCCAGGATAGGGAGCTCTGATTCCGTGGGGGGAAAAAAACCAAAAAACACACACACAAACAACAAAAAAACAACAAAAAAACAACACACACACACGAACCCCCTGGGCCTCCCGAGCGGGGTCCGAGGTCGAAGCATCGCTCCGCGCCGACGCGGCCTCGGCGCCGTGTGGCTCGGCGTGGCGCCGTGGCGCCGCCCTCCCCGCGCCTCCGGGCGGGCGCAGGGCGCCGTCACGGGGCGGGCGGTGGCGCCCAGGCGCGCCGGGCAGAGAGGAAGGGGGGGGCGTGAGGAATGGCTCCTCCCCCTCCCCCTCTTTTTCTCACTCTTTTTCTCCTCCTCCTCCTCCTCCTCCTCCTCCTCCTCCTCCTCCTCCTCCTCCTCTTCCTCCCCCTCCCTCCCTCTTTTTCTCCTCCTCCTCCTCCTCCTCCTGCTCCTCTTCCTCCTCCTCCTCCCTCTCCCTCTTTTTCTCCTCCTCCTCCTGCTCCTCCTCCTCCTCCTCCTCTTCCTTCTCCTCCTCCTCCTCCTCCTCCTTCTCCTCGTGCTCCTTCACCTCCTCCTCCTCCTCCTCCTCTGGGGGGGCAGCGAGGGGGGAGGGGGACGCCGCTGCCGGCAGGCAGGCCTCCGGAAGGGGGAGCAGTGCAGTCAACCCGCAAAGGAAGTTGGGGCGGCCTTCCCAAGGGTATCCTTGCAGCCTTCCCCTTCATCCTCAGCCCCAACCTCGTTCGAAAACGTCAGCATGGCCCTCCGAGGCCCTTGGATCCTCGCCGCGCATCCTTATGATACGGGTTGGGTGTAAGCGGGGGGCGGGCGGAGAGGGAGGAGGGATGACGCCCGCGCCGATTGCGTCGATGCGTCGCCGATGTGTCGCCGATGTGTCGCCGATGCGTCGGTGATGCACCGCCGATGCATCGGCGATGCGGCGCGATTCTCCTGCCCCACCTGCTCGGACACCATCTAGGTGGCCTGCAACTAAGAACGCGACGACGGCGATTACTACGACGACGACGCTTCCCGGAAGGCCCCCCAGATTCGTAGACGCCCCCCCCCCGCCGCGCCGCGCCGCCTCGTGCGCGGGCCGCCGAGCCCGTGCGAGCCCTCTGCCCGGCGGTTGTCCACGTGGACGGCACCGCGCGGCCGCAGCTTGTGGACGAGCGGGACGTCGGAGGGGGAAAAGGCACAGTGTGACAACTGATATGACGTTCTTGTCGCGTTTATGTTTCTGGGGGGGTACATCCTTGAGCTTGCCCAGGATTCCTCAAGCACTGCTCTGGCTTGGCACACCGCCAGGTGTGGTGCACCCTTCGGGGTAACAAGTGCGACCCCTGCACATGCCTGATTATGTCTAATGTGTTTGGCGCCTTCCTGCAGTATGCCACCCCTCTCGGGTCGTGAAAAGGTCATGACGGGAGGTTCTTCGCTATTTGCAGCCTCTGGGGGCCCTTATCAGGCCTCGGGGCCGTCAAACAAGTTTTGTCGGATTGAGAAACCCGTCCCGTGGAACGGATCGAGACCTCTGGGGTTCGACGTCATGAACAAATCATTACGTCGGGGGTATGGGTACCGCTGCCATTACCTCGTTTTCGCCTCTTTGGGCCTCCTTGAAGGCCCTCGTCGCCACGGCTGTGTTCGCCTCGAAGTTCTGGTCAGATCGCGCCCAGGGAGAGGTCCAGGGAGTAGCTGTATCAGTACTGATCGGTTTTCCCAGGACGGCCTCTACTTCGACGTTATCGCCGAGTACGCGGCCCTCTCTGGCGTGCACAGCACTTAGTGGGCCTTGGAAGCGGCAGGGCGATCTTTTGCCAGTCCCGTTTTGCCGTGTCTGTTTTTTCGGTTCCGTCGCAGTTGTTTTCCTGGTTCAGTCCTCTCCGTTTCTGTGGTTTTTCAGTTTTGGTTATGGTTTCTGGTTTGGGATCCGATTCTCCTGCTGTGTTTGTTTCTTTTCTGTTTGCGCCGAATCGTTTTTTTCGATGAGTAGTGCATGTCAGCGTGTCCACTATCAAGCGCCAATTTTTCCCAGCAGAGGATGAAGACCTGGCCTGCCGCTTCCAGCGCCCGCTGAGGCACAGCATCGTGAACACGAGCTTCAACATCCACGAGGAGCCCATCGTGTGCACCCCGCGAGACGCGGTGGCCGCCTTCGAGGCGGGGGCGTGCGACGTGCTCGCCCTGTACCCCTACGTCGTGCTCGGCACGGGGCCCGCGGCAGCGGGGCTCGAGGGACTCGCTGGGCCGCCAGCGAGCGATACGGCTCCTGCCCCTCCTCTTCCGCTGACATCCTCGCGTCGTGAACAGGTCAGCATTGGGCAGTGCCTCTGCCATTTCAGGGCCCAGGGGGCTGTCAAGCACGACTCAGGATGGAGAGCGAATCCGCGAGGAAGGAAGGGGTCCAGACTTGGAGGGCAAAGTTCACCTGCTTCTAAGATAACGCTATCTGGGGCCTATGCCAAGTACCGTTCTCACCTTCTAGCCACAAGCTTCTATAGACACATTGGTTGTCGCTATGTATATATACATATATATATATATAGGTTTGTATATATGTATTCATGTATGTATACATATATATATATATAGACATTCGGGGTGGATGCGTCTATAGACAGTGCGGCCATATAGAACCCCAAACATATTGAAACTTCAGAGGGCAGTTCATGATTTTGGCATCGCGAGGCCCTCTTGGGAAGGCTCTTGGGGCGTGTTGGGTGCGTTTTCGGCCGACTCGAAAACATCTTGGGCGTCTTGGACCGATTGTTCGGCGATTCGGGGCCCTCTCGGACCGTCTTAGGGGGCCTTTAGGGACCCTCTTGGCCCGTCTCGGGGCCTTCTTGGCTCCGAAGAGGTGACGCGAGACGACGCGTGGAGCCGCGGGTGGCACGCCGGGAGTCCAAGGTGATTTGGGAATTCGGGGTCCGGGCCCCTGAAAAGATCCTCAGGATTGAGGGCTGAGGCTTAAGGGATTAGGCGAAGGACCTTGGGACGCTCCCACTCTTGCCTTAGGGCTTGGTGGCGGATTTTTTTTTGTGTGTGTGTGTGTGCATGTGTATGTGTATTGGTATGTGTGTATGCGTATGTTTAAGTAGATGGTGCAGGTGTATGCAGAGGTAAACTGTATACGTGTATATATACATATACACAAATGTGTATACATGCATCTGTTTATGTATGCGTCTAGTTGTACTTATATGTATGTGCACGTGAGTGCATGCAGTCATTTGTATATATATATATATATCTAGTTGCACGTATATGTAGATGTTTCTCTATACCAATAGGTACATGCATATGCACATGCATGTCGATCTCTACATGTACATGTACGTGTACATATGTACATGTGCATGGGTATGTACATGTGTACGTATTTGTTATATATGTGAGCATGTGTACACTTATGAATAGAGAAGATAGAGAGTGAGAGAGGAGAGAGGACAGAGAGAGAGAAAGAGAGATATACTATAAAGAGAAAAAGGGAGGGAGGGAAGGAGAGAGTGCGCGCGTGTGCATGGGCTCCTTGCGAGGGCCGATGCTCTCGGCCTCCTGCTTCGGCCTCCTCCTCCTCCTCCCTCCTCCTCCTCCTCCTCCTCCTCCTCCTCCTCCTCCTCCTCCTCCTCCTCCTCCTCCTCCTCCTCCTTCTCCTCCTCCTCCTCCTCCCCCTCACCCTTGTCCTCCTCCTCCCCCTCCCCCTTCCGTAGCCATTTTGGCTTACATAAGCGGCATGCCATGTAAGGACCCTCTACCTCCTCTTGCCCCTGCGACGTCCCCCGGCTTCGCGAGCTGGCCGGCATGGCTGGGCTCCACTTCGAGGGCGCCCGAGCAGGCCGTGTCGTGATCTCCGCCGCCCGTCGCGGCGTGCGGCCTCGCCTCGCGAGGCGGCCCGCCCACCTCGACCACGCCTGCAACATCTCCGGGCGCATCACGACGGCCAGAGCTGGCGAATTCTTCAGGACGAGCACGGGCGAGGTCGCGGAGCACATGGCCAGGAGCGTGGACGTTTCCTGTGCATGGGCGGCCCACAGCCACCTCAACCTGGGACTTCGGCGACAGAGACGATCTGCTCGACTGCGGCAGCGATGATGCGGAGTCCAAGTGCCAGGAGTTCCCAAGGGTTCCGCCCTGTCCGCTCTTGCCGTCCCAGCCGGTATTCAGCAACCTGCTGGAAGGAGCCGCGTTCTTCGAGCTGTACGGTGACGAGCTTGCTGATAGCGCCGTGCAGACCGACAGTAGCAGTGGACACATAATGATTCTACAGTCGCCGTCAAACTTTGATTTTTCTCCCCCCTGTACGACGCCGCCTCGCAGCAGTGCGTGTGCGAGTTGACTTGTTGATTCGCTGTGCTGCGTGATGCAATTGAGGATTGCGCCCCCGCTGATGAAGGTAACAGTGTTCTTCCTGAGCCTGATGTTGTGGGTGCCGGCGCTGGGGGCAATGATAGCGATTTGCGCCACTACCACAGCCATGTCGCAGAGGTGATGTGCCAGCCGGCTGCCCTTGGGTACGCGGCGGCCGAGAGTCGATTGCTAAACTAATGTGGAGTTGGCTACGCCGCGTCCTGCGTCATGGCCCTTCTTGCTGACGAAGTTCAGGCCGAAGACATCGGTTGCTCAATCTCCAACGGTCGTGCAAGAAACCCAGACGATTCGTCGCTTTCTGATGTTTTCGGCCAGAACAGCATGTATTTCGCAGGAGGAGGCTCCTGACGCCTTCCCGGACCTCTGCTATGCCAGTCGTCTGAGTCCTTCGGAGGGCCGGTCTGCAGTCTGTGCCATGTCCCATGCAAGCCAAGCCGTTTCTCTTTTCTGACTTCATCGAATGCTGGCGCCGCGTCTGATTTTCCTGTCTCTTGCCTCCTGTTCTCAGATGGGGCTCGGACGAGGACTCATCCGTACCAGGGCCTTCCGGAGCGCCCGCAGAGTGCTCCGGAGCGCTCTGAGCAGGCCGCGGCAGACACCCTCCAGAACCGCCAGATCTCAGAGATTCCCGACTCGTCCTCGCCCGAGTTTCTCCTCGTTCGTGCTTCGTCTTGTGCTCCCTCTTTCCTGCCCCCTCTCCTGCGGATGCGGCTGCCGTCGTCTGTGTCCGTGCCCCGCGCCGCTGCGACACGGCCGCGCCCGCGCTGTTACGACACTTCAGCGAGTTTGGATTCAGTCGGGCGTGTCCCTCTACAGGGGGAATATCCAAAAATAGTCAAACATTAGTCTCGGGACGATTTTTTTTTTGTTGGAATATATTTTGGTTATTTTTGATTTTTCGCCCAAAATCCGCCTGTAGGGGGACACGCCCGACTTGGGGAGGGCGCCGCGGGCACCAGGGCAGACGCCGCCTCGGGCGCAGGGCTTGTTGTGGGTTTGCCGCGGCTTGGGCTTCGTCTACTCGGGCGCGGGGCGCAGGGATTGCTGCGGGTTTGCTGTGGTGTCGGCGTTGTCCACTTTGGGCGCGTCGAAGAACAAGAGGCGCGGCGACACATCTATGGCTGCTCGTTGCCATGGTCAGTGCTTGTGCTTTTGTTGTGGTGTCCGGGTCTTGTGGCTTCCTTGATGAGCAACGGATTTTTCTTACACCTCGGACGGGTTCTCGCTCGCGTCTGGCTCTTTGTCCGCCCTTCTCATCTTGCTGGCCGGATTCGCTCCTCCCCCTCCCCCTCCTCCTCCGCCGCCTCCTCCTCCTCTCCCCTTCCCTCTTCCCTTCCCCTTCCCCCCCCATCCGCAGCCATTTTGGTTTGGCCCTGGCGGCGAGAGCGGGGCGGGGGCGCCATGTACACGGAGGTGGAGGAGTGCTTGGGCCATGACCCGCCCGAGCTGTTGCAGGCGGCCCCCTCCGCCCCAGGATTTTGCCAGGCTCCCCAACCAACATTCTCCACTCTCGTCCTCCTCGTCCTCATCCTCCACCTGCCCCCCCTCCCCCTTCCCGTCTCTCATCCTCCCTCCTCCACGTCCCTCTTCACCTCCTCCTCCCCTCTGCTTTTTCCACTGGCCTCTCCTCCTCGCCCTGCTCATTCTCCCTGCACCTCCTCCTGCTACCTCCTCCACCGAGTTTCTCCTCCTCCTCTTCCTCCTCCCTCGTCCTCCTGCTCCCCCCTCTGCTTCTCCTCCTCCTCCTCCTCCTCCTTTTTCCTCATCTTCCAATTTTTCCTCCTTCCTCCTTCCTCCTCCCTCCTCGCCCTCCTTCATCCTTCTTCCTCTTCGTCCTCCTCCCTCCTCATTTTTCCCCTTCTTCTCCTCGTCGTCCTCTTCCTTTCACCTCCTTTTCCCCCTCCTGCTCCTTCTTACCCTCCTCCTTCTCCTCTTCCTCCTCCTGCTCCTCCTTCTCCTTCTGCTCCTCCTTCTCCTCCTCCTCCTCCTCCTTCTTCTTGCCCCCCAAGACTTCAGACATCATGATTTTTTCCGTGGCGTTGTACCCCGGTCCAGTCGTCCCCATTCCAGGGATTGTTTCTATCATCCTGGGCTGCTCCGTGATGGCTCTGGACCTGAAACAAGTTTCCAGAAGCCCGGGGATTCGACGGACTGGCCGTCTCGATGTTCTCGTGTTGTCAGAAGTCAGGGCCCTCCCCGGCTCGACATCGCCCCCCAGACCTCTCCCGTGCGCCATCCTGACCAGCAGCTCGAGGGTGATCCAGCTGTGGCGACACGGGCGCACACGAAGGCCCCAAGAGTGAAATACTGGCTTAGCAACTATCTTTTGGTTGTGAGACTCTTGTCCTCCTTCTTCTCGCCCTCCTCCTTCTCCTCCTCACTCCTCCTCCGTTCTCCTCACTCTTCCTCCCCTCCTCCTCCTCCTCCTCCTCCTCCTCCTCCTCCTTCCCGTCGGCGACGACGACGACGACGGCGACGACGACAACGACGACAACGACGACGACGACCACGACGACGACGACGACGACGACGACGACGACGACGACGACGACGACGACGACGACGACGACGACGACGACGACGACGACGACGACGACGACGACGACCTCCTCCTTCTCCTCGGAGAGGTGGGGGAGCGCGTCTGCCATCTCGAGTTCTTGGATCCTCCTCCTCCTGCCCCCCCCTCCTCCTCCTCCTCCCCTCCTCCTCCTCCTCCTCCTCCTCCTCCTCCTCCTCCTCCTCCTCCTCCTCTCCTCCTCCTCCTCCTCCTCCTCCTCCTCCTCCTCCTCCCTCCTCCCTCCTCCTCCTCTCCCCTCCTCCCCCTCCTCCCCCTCCTCCTCCTCCTCCTCCTCCTCCTCCTCCCTCCTCCTCCTTCTCCCCCTCTTCCTCCTCCTCCTCCTCCTCCTCCTCCTCCCTCCTCCTCCCCTCCTCCTCCTCCTCCTCCTCCTCCTCCTCCTCCTCCTCCTCCCCCTCCTCCCCCCTCCCCCTCCCTCCTCCTCCCTCCTCCTCCTCCTCCTCCTCCTCCTCCCTCCCTCCTCCTCTCCCCCTCTTCCTCCTCCTCCTCCTCCTCCTCCTCCTCCTCCTCCTCCTCCTCCTCCTCCTCCTCCTCCTCCTCCTCCTCCCCCTCCTCCTCCTCCTCCTCCTCCTCCTCCTCCTCCTCCTCCTGCTCCCCCTCCTCCTCCTCCTCCTCCTCCTCCTCCTCCTCCTCCTCCTCCTCCTCCTCTTTCCCGACGACGACGACGACCACAACGACGACGACGACCTCCTCCTTCTCCTCGGAGAGGTGGGCGAGTGCGTCTGCCAGCTCGAGTTCTCGGATCCTCCTCCTCCTCCTTTTTCTTTTCCTCCTCCTCCCCCTCCTCCTCCACCTCCTCCTCCTCCTCCTTCTCCTCCTCCTCCTCCTCCTCCTCCCTTGCTCCCCCATCCCACCGTTCGCCAGCTCTCGGGTGGTCGCCCGTCGGTGCCAACTTTTGGACGGTGCCGATGTTTTTCTGTTTTTGTTGTTGTTTTTTGGGGGGCGGGGGGGGGCGGTGCACCCTGTCGTCTGGGGCGACAACGTCCCGCGCGTCCCTCTCCGCCCTGCAGGGGTGGGGGCGTCGCTTGCGGTGGAGATCGTGACGTCACCGCACGGTCGGGCCAAGGCACAGGGTCGAGGTCGGTTCGGGGAGGGCACCCTACAGTGGGGGCGCGCATCAAGAAACCATCAGTTTTTCGTCAGGGTGCCCTTGGTTTCTTCGCTCCGCGCGCTGCGCGGTGACTCCCCGCGGCCGTCAAAGAAGCTGCTGCGTTCAGGGTGCTCCGGGTTTCCCCTCAGGTGCACCTCGGCCTTTTGCGGCCGCGTCCGCACCATACTGTTAAGTCGGGCGCCTCCCTCTACAGGGGGAATATCCCAAAGTAGTTACTTTTGACCTTTGAAAAACTACTTTCATTTTTAGTCCAACGCCCGCCTGTAGGGGGACACGCCCGACCTGAATGTAACCACACGGTGGGGCCACCGTATCAGATCGAGGTCGGTTCGGGGAGGGCACCCTACTGTTCTTCGCGTGTGTTGTCTGTTCTTGTGCATCATGGGGAAGGGTACCCTGAAGGATGGCTCTTCTGTCCCGGCGGAGGGTGTCATGTTCTTGAAGGATGCTCTTCTGTCTTCGCTCCGACGGTACAGCCAGACCGCTGGCGCCTCGACAGAACTCGAGACGGCCGGTTGGTCGCCATTCCTGGGCTCTGGAGGCCGTCCTCGGGTCGGGCCTCGGGGCCACTCACTGCACCACCGGGGATGAGCAGCCCGCCCCTGGGAGGGGGCGTCGAGAGGTCTGGGTCTGGGGGCCCAAGCCTCGAAAGAATGCCTGAGGTTGCTCACACCCAGATTCAACGACCGGGAGGCGGAGGCGGAGGAGGAGGAGGAGGAGGAGGAGGAGGAGGAGGAGGAGGAAGAGGAGGAGGAGGAAGAGGAGGAGGAGGGGGAGGGGGAGGGGGAGGAGGGGGAGGAGGAGGAGGAGGAGGAGGAGGGGGAGGAGGAGGAGCGGCCCCAGAGCTCGTGGCCCCTTCCCCGGGCGCAGGTCGTTTCTCGTCCTGGAGGGGGCTTTGATGGCCCTGCGGTCCGAAAGCGGGCCCGGGTGGCCCGGAGATCCAGGGAAGACGCCCGGGTTGCACAAGAGCAGATCGTCGGAGATCTGGGTAGGGCTGCTTCGCGTGCCTCGCCGTGGACTTTTGACACCCTGCAGGTCCCTGGTCGCAGTCAGCGGGGCAGCGACGGAGGACGGTGCTGAGCGGCGGTGCGCCTCTCTCGCTTCGCGCCGCGGGGGGCCTGCACCCCCGCCCTCCGAAGGGGCCCCAGCAGGAGAGCGTGCCCGAGGCGCCTCGCGCAACGTTTGAGGGGGGCCGTGCGGCGATGATCGGCGGCGAGCCCGGGTGGGGATGCAGAATGGGGCGGGCCCTCGCAGAAGGGTCGGAAGGCCTCGGGCCGTCGGAGGCGTGTTCGAAGCCTTCCCCGAAGGCACAGAAGCCTGCTCAGAAGGCCAGAAAGCTTCTGGGAGGCCCCGCCGCCTTTGAGAAGGCATGCCCCCTCTCACTTCCCCTTGTGCGCGCCGCTGAGATGATCTCTTGATGGAAATCACCCACCGGTGCCCTCATATCTTTGCGTCGTGAGAAATCACGACGGAACGTGATTGGTAATTTTTCGGTCTCCAAGGGCCCTTGCGAGGCGCGGGGAACCGTCAAGAACCACTCAGGATGAAATTCTGGTCCCCGAGAATGGGGCCAGACCGCTGCTTGGGGAGCCGCCCCACGAAACATGCGGCGGCGGGGGTCCGTGAAAGCCGCACAGGCGGTGCTTCGTTCACTGTGACGAGACTCGACGAGTCGGCCTCCCTGGGCCTCCGGTGCTCCGGTTTTGTCCCTGCGCGGGCCCCTGCAGGCCTCTCGACCCCCTCCCCCCGGCCCAGCTGTGCTCGCGGGCTGCTCTTCTGACGACCCCAGGGCCCGAAACGGGCCCCCTGCGCAGGTCGTGAGTGGTGCCAGGCCGACCGCCCCGATTTCCTCGAGGGTCGGGTGTGTAGGTGTAAGTCGGGCGTGTCCCTCTGCAGGAGGAATGTTCAAAAATAGTCAAAGCATATTCTGGAGACGATGTTTTAAGTATTTTTGAGCATGTATGGTCAATTGTTGGACTATTTTTTTTTTTTTCCGCCCAAAATCCGCCTGTAGAGTGTAGGTGCGGGGGTCCAAATCGACCCCTGGGCCCATCCTGGGGTGCGTTCTGGGCAGGATCCCGAGGGGGTCCAGCCAAGGCGACGAGAGAGCCCCAGGAAGGCAAAAGGGGCCCCCGTACCTCGACGTCACCGAATCTCGAGAACCTCGAACGCCCACCTCCGCTTTTTCGAAGCGCCGTCTGCGTGGGTTTCCTCCTCTTCCTCGTCGGGGCGAGGTGGATGATGTCACCTCTTCTTGTTATCGCTTACATGTCTAAACCTTCCTTCCTCGTCGTATGATCTTTACATTTCATGATCCTTCTTCTGCTTGCTCCTGTCACTAGGTCTTTTCTTGCCCTCCTCTTCCTCCTCCCTCCTCCTCCCTCCTCCTCCCTCCTCGTATCTCCTGCCTCCTCCCTCCTCCTCCCATCTACTCCCTCCCCCGCTTCCCTCCTCGCATCTCCTGCCTCCTACCTCCCCCCTGTGGCCGAGGTGGGCGAGGGCATGCGGCGGCTCGACTTCCTGGCCAGCGACGTGCTCCTGCGCCCCGAGTGGGTGCTGATCGGAGCGGCACTCGTCTTGCAGCGCCCCGCTCGGACGTCGTCGTCGTCGCTGGTGTCGTCGCCGTCGCCGTCGTCGTCGGAGGAGGAAGAAGAGCAGGTTGGGAGGGGGAGGCGGTGTGTGTGTGTGTGTGTGTGTGTGTGTGTGTGTGTGTGTGTGTGTGTGTGTGTGTGTGTGTGTGTGTGTGTGCGTGCGTGCGTGCGTGCGTGCGTGCGTGCGTGCGTGTGCGTGCGTGTGCGTGCGTGCGTGCGTGTGTGTGTGTGTGTGTGTATTCTGTGTGTATGTGTGTGTGTGTGTGTGTGTGTGTGTGTGTGTGTGTGTGTGTGTGTGTGTGTGTGTGTGTGTGTGTGTGTGTGTGTGTGTGTGTGTGTGTGTGGGGGGGGGGGGCGGGGGGGAGGGGAGGAGAGGGAGGGTGTCGGGAGGGGTTGGCGGAGGAGAGAGGAGGGACTATGAGGAGGGGGAGGTGGCGCAGCAGGAGGGCGAGGAGGAATGGCGGATGCAGGAGTGCGAGGAGGAGGAAGGGAGCAGGAGCGGGAGGATGAGGGGGGGACGAGCAGGTGGGGCAGGGTTACATTGCTGTCTCTATGTTGTTTGTTTCTTTGGTTTGTTGCATGCTGTGTTTTCGTGTTTTCTGTTATTTCAAATGTTTACCTGTACACATTCAAATTGGACGGATGGGTTGTTGTTTGTTTGCTTGGCTTGTTTGTCGTTCGTTTTGCTGTGTGTGTCTGTTTCGAACTTAGGGCTATGTTCTCCAAACCCTGCCGTGAGGAGCTGCAGGACAAGGATGAAGATTGACGCGGCGACGGGGGAGTTGCGGCGTTCTGGAGGAGGTTACGGTATACAAGAGAGCATGCCACCAGCCCATTGCGACACCACACAATCGAAATACGCAGAACCAGCAACAGCACAATAGTGACACATCGTGGGCATGTGCAGAGGACGCCCGAGCGAACGTGTCTCATACAACACATAACCGAATCCAGCTACTCGCTACGTGAAGGAGCAATGACTTGGTGCGAACACGTGAATAACACTGCAACGGTTGCAAGCTCAACGCGGAATGCATACGGAAAAGGCAGCCTTCTCCTGGATCATGAGGAGAGTCGGTAGGGACCCATGCAGTAGTAGCTTCCTCAGGAACTCCATCGCCATCACTGTGCTCGTGAGGAACATCGGTAAGCGGGCGACTCGCCGAAGCACCATCACCGACAGCGCCGAGGACGGTACCAACAGGCTGGACTCGGCCGATCACGTCCACTCCACGGTACACGTCTCTCAAAGATCGGAGGAAACGCCCGCCCGCCGAAGAACGCCCCGCGCGGAACGAGCACCCAGGAGAACGAGTTTCCAGACGACCACTCCTGCAGCTCCGTCTCGACCTTCCCTGCTACCCTGAAGTCGGGCCTGCTCTACAGGAGGAAGATTCTCAAATAGTTAAACAAAAATAGTCGGGGGACGATTTGCCGTTTTTTCAATACTATTTTTGACCATCGGGGGTCTTTTTTGAGTACTCTTTATTTTTCGTTCAAAATCCCCCTGCAGGACGACAGGCCCGACCTAATGCTACCCCGATGTCGCGGGGCAAACGGCAGCATCGCCTGAAGCCCGGACCCCCATCCTTCGGCCCGCGTGCTTCGAGCCCGGCGGGTTTGAGTGATGGTCCCGGCGCCCGAAAGCGGGGCGGCAGCGCCTGGAGTGACAAAATTTTGCAGCGCCCAGGCAGGTCTCCTCCTCCTCCTCCTCTTTCCCCCCTTCCGTAGCCATTTTGGCTCAAGATGCAGGTTTCCCCAGGGAACCAAGCGGATACCGCTAGTCCGCGGCTGGCAAGACTTCCTGAAGTCTGGCGTCATCTCGGGCCCACCTCACCAGCGCTCAGGTCGGTGGGTAAACGGAGGCCTTTCCCGTTCCTGTCGGCCCGAACGCTTCCAGCTGCGAAGCCATGGCGGAGGCTCCTGGCGGTCGTGCTGGCGGCAGTGACAGGTCCTCGGGTCGGAGCGATGCATCAGACGCCGAGCGGTCTGCCTCTCGCAGCGGGGACGGAGCTCGTCGCCGCCGTCGCAGACAGCATCGAGAACGCGATCGTGGGCGAGATCATCTTCAAGAGCGCGACCCCTGGCGTCAACAAGGGGGGGGGCGCGGAGGCAGGAGCAGCACGGACGGGGCGCGACCATCTGGCGCAGATGCGGCTGCTCCCGCTGCCGCTGCGCCTGCGGGGGGAGGAGCTCCTGCACTGGCATCCGCCGCAGGGCTGCCCGCCAGTGTCGCGCAGGAGCTGGAGCGGATCCTGGCCGAGGCGACAGCCAACCTCAACGCGACGACGTCGGCGGCCCAGACCCAGATGGCCACGGTCGTTGCCGCCCACGCTCAGGAGTGCTCGGCGCGGTTCGCGGTGGTCGACGCGGACGTCGCCCGCATGCGGGAACGGCAGGACAAGCTCGAGGCGTCCAACGAGGAGTTGCGCGCGGCCGTCCAGAACATGTAGGTGGCCCTGGAGCGCGCGGAGGCCCAGGTCCCCCTCTTCCAGGCGGCGAGGCAGGAGATGTGGGACAGGCCCGCGGCGCCGAACCTCTTCCAGATCCAGGTCGAGTCAGGCGTCACGAGCGCGGAGATCATCGTCGGCCTCGAGGAGTGGTTCAAGGCTGCCATGGTCGGGGTGGGGCAGTACTCGCTCCACTCCCTCCCGTCTGGGAAACACTTCGTGCTGGAGCTCACGGGCGGCGTGGTGGGCTACGAGCGCGCCAAGAGGCTGGCCACGCACCTCCGCATGCCGAGCGGGTGGAGGAGCTTCACTGCCGGCGGGCGCAGGATGTGCATCAACGTGGACAAGTCCAAGCGCTCCCTGCGCGTGGAGCTCCACACCAAGCGCCTCGCCCAGGCCCTGGAGGAAGTGCGCGGAGGAGCTGGGCGCTGGTGGCCAAATAAAGCGAAGGGGGAGGTCAAGTTCGACAATGTGGAGGTGGCCAGCGTCCTGGTCACGGAGGAGGATGTTCCGACGGAGCTGCGCTGGAACAACCCGATGGTGGCGAACCTGGGCATCGACAAGAGCAAGGTGCAGGAGGTTTTCAAGCGCATGGTCGGCGGCGGGCCCAGGGAGGTCCAGTGGTGTCCCTAACACCTGCTCGGCGCGGTGGCGCCCGTGGCAGTACCAGTACGAGGAAGTATTCAACAGCCCCCTGAAGGTCATCTCGTGGAATGCGCGTGGTCTGCTTCTACGGGATCCTCTTCGTCGGCGGCGCAAGCTTGCAATCTTGCGGTCGTATATGGCGAAAAAGTATGTGATCATGGTGCAGGAGACGCATGGTGCGGCGATCATTTTGGAGTCGTTCGTGCGCGCGCAGCCCTTCCCCTACAAGGTCCACTTCTCTGCTCTTCGTGATGGGCGTGGCGGCGGTGTGGCGACGCTGATCCCGAACGCCGAGCAGCACGAGTGGGAGGAGATGCACCCGTCGTGGCACCCAGTCTCGACGACTACGGAGCTGGTTCCTGGGCGGGTGCTGATGGTGAAGATCAGCGTAGTGGCGCGGAGGCCCGACTCGGCGACGCACCTGCCCGCCGAGGCCGACGAGTGCTGCGTCGGAGTCACCCTCATCAACGTGCACAACCACGAGCTCAGCGCGGAGGACAAGACGAGGGTGGCGACAGCCTGGCGTGGGGCAATGAGGAAGGCGCGCAGGTGCCCGCTGCAGGAGCTATGCGTTGCTGCCGGCGACTTCAACCTTCCAGTGGGCGATCGGCGCTACTATCGCTTGCCGACGCCGACGGCGATGAGGTCCCCCGTGCGCGACCACCAGGCCAGGTCCTTCTGGCGAGACCTCTTCGACGAGTGCGTGGAGATCAATGGCAAGGACGCCACGCACTACGACAGGCATTCGGACTCCGCCTCTACGCTGGGCCGCTTCTTCATCAGCCTGCCGAGGGACGCGTACCCCTGCCTCCGTGCCACCCGCACGGTCGACGCGGACCCCGCGGCGCTGTCGCTGCGCAGGTTGAGTGATCATGGCGTGGTGGGGCTCGTGCTGGTGCTCCGCAAGGAGAGGCCGATGGCGGAGAGGAAGATCCCTGCCTTCGTCTTCAAGTCGCAACAGTATCCAAAGTACTTCAAGGATCTTCATGCTGCTGAACAGGATCTGCTGCGTAGTCGTGGAGCTGACGGAGACGCTCAAGAGGAGTGGATTGCCGCCAAGCGGGCCATGGTCTCGGCGGCGAAGGCCACGAGGAACCACATGATTGCGCTCGCCGATCTGCAGAACGTGTCGCAGGGCGCGGAGCTCAACGCCTTGGTGATGCGATCGGCGGCCAGGACGATCTGGACGAACGACGGCACCACGGCGCGCATGCTGATCCAGTCCTCCCCCTTGGCTCGGAGGCACCTGCGCATCCAAGATGGCAAGGTGCTGGCGAACGACACCGTGGTCTTCGGGGAGGCCGTGCGCACCACCACGGAGCGCATGCTGGACGAGCGGCGTCAAGACGCTGCGAGACGTGCTCGTCGCGCCTTTGCGACGGCGCAGGCTCAGGAGGGCGAGTACTGGAAGCGGAAGCAGGGCAGCATAGTGAAGAAGGCTCAGCTGTGGCTCCGCAAGCTGCCCGTTTGGCAGCTGAGCGGCGTCAAGGTGTGTGCGACGGAAGAGCTCCCTGCCCCGCCGGCGCCGGAGAGCGCACCCGTGCGGCCGTCCGACGTCGCGGTGAAGAACGCCGACGCCATGCTGGCCGCGGTGCGCGAGTACTGGGGCCCCATCTTCAGGGAGAAGGGCATCGACGAGGAGGCGGCGAGGGAGTACATCGAGCGGTGGTTCGCTCCTGCCAGCGCGCGCGAGGACTTCGCCTTCAGCGAGGAGGATCTACTACGTGCAGCTCGGTGTGGACGCGATGCGGCCCCTGGGCCTGACAGGCTGCCCTACGTCGCCTGGGCGCGGTCTCCTGCAGCGGTTGCCTGGCTGTACCGGCTCTGCCAGGAGGCGCTCGCTGGGCTGGGCTTCCCTGACGGCTTCAACCACGGGCTGCTGGTGCTGATTCCGAA